TTACATCCATCTCTGCATCTTTTTGGTCCTGACATTTTTACTGATAGCTTCACATTAACATGAACGTCTTAATGGTTAGGACACAGACCTGTGGGTTAGAGATGCTAAAAATAAATAAATAAACAAATAAATAAATAAATAGATATATAAATGGATAAATACAAATGAATAAATTAATACAAATAAATAAATGAATAAATTAATACAAATAAATAAATAGATAGATAAATACAAATACATACATAAATATAAATACATAAATAAATACAAATAAATAAATAAATACAAATAAATAAATAAAAATGAATAAATAAATTACAAATTTAAAAAGAGATGCTAATACTAGTTTGGGATCGGACTTAAAACAACAAAACTGGATCTGGAGTCTGGATCTGAGTTTTCTCCTACCGGCCGATACGCATTTTTTTGCGGATATCGGCGGCCGATCGGATCCAGATATCTATAATAAATCTATAATAACTACTAAAAACAGAGGGAGCCTCACCAGCATGCCCCTGCGTCTGAAGCCCATCATGCACGCTCTGCATTTGAACACGAAGCTCTCGAAGTCGGTGGTGGGGACTTTCATCTTCAGCGCTTTGGAGCGGTGGATGCGGTCGGCCTTCTTGGCTTCTCGGTCCGGGTTGTGCATGCGCTGCATGTGCTCCCGAAGCTTATCCTTCCTCTGAACAAACACAGGAATATGTTTATGTTTATGTTTATGCATTTGGCAGAACACAGGAATAGGAAAGTGAGTAGGGCTGTCACCATACTAAAATGTTCAACTGGATACCGATACTCAGGAAAATATTCCATACTCGATATCACAAGGATAAAAACAAAGACCCCAAAATGCAACTGGATTTGGACAGGTTAGTGTCTTTGGTTTCAAACTTATTATGACCCTAACCCTAACCCTAACCCTAACCCTGACCCTAACCCTAACCCTGACCCTGACCCTGACCCTGACCCTAACCCTAACCCTAACCCTGACCCTAACCCTAACCCTCCATCCTTCATAATTGTGAGAAATTAATATTTTTTGGTTAAACTTGTTTGGACTTATTGTACAAACCTATTTAACATCCACTATTTTAACATAATATTATGTATAGAGTATAATTCAGTGTTTGAAAGATTCATTTCACTATTTTTAAATTAATGTCTATATTGCCATGAAGCAATTAGGATTTTCTCTCCTGGGATCTTCCTATTGGTGACCTAATCAAAATGGCCGACTTGATTAATGTTGGCGTGTTGTTATTAGCCATTAGCTAGCAACTCAACGCTAACGTGACGTTAATGATCATAAACAACGTAAATAAATAAATAAATCAGAGAGAAGGGGGGTGGTATCGATACTTTAGAAAATGAGTATCGTATCCGGATAAAACGTTTTGGTATCAGTACTTTTTTGAGTATCGATACTCTTGACCACCCTAGACATGAGGGTTTTCTATTTCTGTTTTCTATTTTTACATATTTTGTTAATAGACCAAATAAGGAATTCAAACCAAAAAAAAAAGTAATTTTCTGTTTTGTTTTCTTCTTGGATCAGGCTTTAAAGGGTTAATATTAAAAATGTATTTCTGTTTTTTCTTTTTACACATTTAGTTAAAAGGCCAAATAAGGAATTCAAACCAAAAAAAAAGTTATTTTCTGTTTTGTTTTATTCTTGGATCGGGCTTTAAAGCAGTGTTTTTCAACCTTTTTTGAGCCAAGGTACAGTTTTTCATAGAAAAAATCTCGAGGCACACCACCAACCAAAAATGTCAAACAAATCTGTATCCGCCTATAGTAACACTATAGTTATTCTTATTTTATTCTTATCTTATCTTAAGTGTAAAAAATGTATTTTTATCATATCTTATATTTCTTCTTTCAAATTGCACTTAACATGTCCACTTCAATATAAAAAATTAAATACAAAATCTAGTCATAAGGAATTATTACATGATTACTCCACCAGTCACTAGAACAGCACACACACTCAGAAATGGAAT